AAAAAAAAAAAAAAAACAAACAACAAAAAAGAATTCTTCTTTAAAAATGGCACACAGCAACTAGCACTGGCTACTTTTCACCGTATACTTGAACACTCAACATAATCAACAACAGCATACACTGGGGGAGCAGAAGAGAAAACGGAAACAAAAACATAATCGTGTATCATTTCGTACGTTCTCATTCGCCTGCCTCCTGAAACGTGTGCGCTCCGTGCTGTAGTGCTTCCCTGTGAGACATGATTTAGTGGAGAGAGCGAAGGGAAAGGAAACAGAGATGAAAGTGTGTAACCGTGTATGTGTGTGTTTGAAAGGGTGAGAGGGTTACAGAGCGACGTGGTGTGACAGTGGTAGTGACTGTAGTGACGGCTCCACGATCACGTACAGGTCGCCTGCAGACCGACTTCAAACGATCTGCAGCCGGGAACACAGCAGCCTCGACCCCAGCGTCTCGCAGCAGCGCCCCCTTACTCCCGCCGAGGAGGCTGCAACTCATAAATACTCAATCTACGGATTCCTACCTAAAACATTTTTCACTCTTGCATAACACGGAGACCACGCACGCACACACACACACACACATATAAACCGTCTGTGTGTATCTCAGTTGATGACTTCACAGTCCACGATGACACACTGGTCGACCGCACGTCTCCATTCACCAGACTGATCGTCGGTTCTCCAGTTTCGAAGCAGCACAGGGAGGTAAACTGGAGGACGGTGACGGGGGGGAGGGGAGCGGACAGCCCTCCTGGAGTCACAGAGCTCGGGAATGTCGGTGTGTCTTCTAGTTTTTTTTTTTTTCTTGTTTGTTTTTAAAAATAGTGTGCATCGTTTCAAATCACAGATCCGTTGAATAACCTGGCTGAGGTGGAGCGGGGCCCCCTGTATTCTAAGGAACCAACATGGCTGCCCTTTGCTCGAGTCAGGGAGGCCAGTTTACCAACAGCCCCCCCACCAGCAGCACCGTAGGTCTGCTCTGAGGCCCCCGGCTGTTTGCCTGCCTGCTGGCCTTCCTGCCTGGCGGCGGGTTAAGCGGTTATCTTGGACTTGGAGGATGGAGCCATGCACAGAGTGGCCTGTGGGATATGTGGAGAGAGCCTGGAGCTATGGGCGCCTGGGACCCTGTCATCTGTTGGCTGGGAAGTAGTTGGGGTCCAGGTAGTTGTAGCCTGTGCTCTGGGGCAGGCAGTAGTCCCTGTCCAGAAAGGTTTCCGACTGGTACACCGGCTCCAAGTGGTGGTTCGGCTTGTGGGTCTCCGTCTTGTACAAGCTGGAGGATGAGAGGGACGAACGGACAAAGCATTAGTCATAGAAGAACCGGAGGGAAAAAGAACACTGCTGCGTAATTCAAAATCAATAGCTACAGAGATATTTGTCAATATATAACTCTTTAAAAGTGTTATTAGAAATATATACTAGAATATATTAAATGACAGTCGGTGACTACATTTGCACACTGCATCCACAGAACCAAGGCGAGCGATTATAAAAACACGATGCGTCACAAAACGTCTGCGTCCATTTAGGAAAAAGGTTGCAGCTACAAATCTTTGAGATTTTATGTGAGTATTTTTAAACAGACCCAAAATATGCAAATTTGAAAATAGTTATTACAAGAAGCACAACAGTGATGCACGGTCACATGATGTTTGCTTTTTAATATCCACCATAAGCATGACGGGAATATTAAGTGGCGCATCAAGTCGTTTATGTTTGGCTGCTGTTATGGCAACAAAACGTCGCTGCCTTATCTAAGGTGGTTAATAAACTGTTGTATATTTTCAGAAAGATTCATGAGATCACAAGCTCACTTTGAACAGACACTATAATAAACTGGAGGTTCAGTACTTCAGACAAATCTTCCCAGTACTGATTTTCTTTTTTTGTATGATTAACTCATTAATATGAACAAATACACTTCTGGTCATGTTTTATTTTTTGGGTCCCTGATGTTCCAGCTGTGGAGGATCTCACCAGTCGGAGCAGCTGGAGCAGAAATCGACTGCGTTGTCAGCTGGACAGTCCTGACAGTGCCACCGCACTCCCTGGATTGGTTCCATGCCACAGACGTCACACTGCACAAAACAACACACGCAAACCATCTTCAGCTCACAATGTCAGAACTGTATCAAACTACTTGATGCAGAATTTCATGAAACGATAAAAAACAAACTTGAAGAGCAGATGTGTGAACCTGGGCGAGTAGAATACAATTACTCTTTGTCAAGAGCGACAATATATTTCCCTCGGGTATTTATATTTTATTTTCAGAGATCTGGAATCAGCCAAAGTAAAATGTGTGAACTGTGTAAAAGCCTGGTTTGAATGTCGTCATTATGATGTAAAGAAACGTGCGTGATCTTCACCTTGAAGCCGACGTGTCGAACCCCGACCTTCTCCTCCTGGAACTCCTGGAGCTTCTGTTTTTTCAGTCGCTTCAGCTCCAAAAGCTCTTTGTACTCGGGCAAATTTCTCAACTCCACAGGAACACTCTCCTCATCCTGGGAGAGCAGGAAATGAGACACGCACACAAACACACACACACACACACACACACACACACACACACGCACAGACAGAAAGAGACAGAGATAAGAATCAAGGCACGGACAAAACATCTCTGCAGGACTCCAGCGATCCAGTCTGATAACGATGTTCTGCAGAAGTTCTGCATCCTGTACACACATTTGCTGATGATATTGATTTGTCTAATTTTAGTTGAACAACTTGTCCATGAACATCAGCACAGATTTTCTTCTGTTTGAGCTGTAGTGTTGTTGTGTCTCTGTAGTGAGCACATTGTCTTTCTGCTGAAAGTAAAGAGTGGAAAAAGTCCTTCACAAAGACTCTTCTGCAGTCTATACGATCCTCCACCTCCTCACAGCCAGAGAAAAACACTTTGGAAAAGAAGAAAGAGGCATTTTATTTTCAACAATACTATCACTAGCATGTCTAGACAAGAAATGGCTTTGTGAAAGTCCTGCTAAGCTGCTGACGCACTTGCCCTGAGCAGACTCTAAGTGCGACCTGAAAACACAGTCCAAGTAGAGGACCACCCGGTGAAGTGAGAAATAATCGTGGCCCATGCTGGCAACATCTTTGTGACTTTATTTCATACCGACGGTGTCAAAGGTTTTGAGAATGTGCTGGTGGAGCCAGCAGCCTGTGTTCTCAGCAGGACACAGAAACCTGGTTGTCCTTAAAGGTTACCGCCATCAAAAGGGGAGAAAGAAAGTGTCAGCGCCTGGATAATGGTGAACGTCAGGAGTTGCGCAGTTCAAATGGAACAAGGAACAAGGTTGGCGAGAACGCCTGCTGTGATTTGGCTTTTTTTTTTAACGGCACCTGATAGGAGTGAAAAAACGAATGTGAAATATATCAGGGGCCAAATGCTTCAATGCATCCAAAGGTGACAAAGTGGAGTTATAAGAAAGAGCAGCAGTGTGTCGTATGAAAGCACAAGTCATGAGGCCTGACGTGCAGCTTATTCCAGCAAAACAAAAAGTCAAGGGAACGAGATAAATTACAAAAAGTCTCCCATAACGAGATAATTTGGAATTATACTACAAGAATATTTAAATATAGTGACAGAGGACTGACCGAGTCATCAGCAGAGGGGTCCTGCACGCTCCCGTAATACGCCGAGCGCTCGTCGTCTTCGTCCATGAAGACCGGAGGCTCGTAGGAGGTGAGGAAGGTGGACGGCCGGTACAGGTGCTTGTTAAGGTGGTGCTGTCTCTTACTGGACGCCTGGAGAACAAACAGGCACAGTCACAGGAGAGGACAGGTCATTTTAAATGTATATGTTGTCGGACAATATGGCTGACTTCAATATCAGAGATTGATAAACATCAGGATGCTGCAAATACGTAGAGTTATCGACACAAAAAACATTTTTAATATTCGGCATAATCTCTAATAATCAAAGTTTCACCATTCCATGAAAAGTGTATAGCTGTTTTGCATTAATTGAGCCAGTCCTGAATTGAAGACACCTGACACACTTTAAAACAACTCTTTGTTTTATTGGAAGTAGTCACTCGTGGATGATGGGTTCAGTGAATGAGTTTAAGAGTTACCTTTTTGGTGTACATGCACAGGTTGGGGGTTCTTCCAGGCACGGGGATACCAGCTTTTGTCAGTTTGATGAAGTACTTTTGAACCCTGCTGGCAACCTGGAAAGTTTCAACAGGAAAATTGCTGCGTTACTGATCTCCAATGGAGGAACAGCTGCTCCAAGTAATTGGGGTCACACACGTTTCATTCAAGGAATTTGCAGGGGGCGCAGCAATCATACAAGATGGTCTTTGCCTTTTAGCGCTGACACACTTTACACTCACGCAATTAAACAGTCTGTTGCTATTGTAGAGATTTTTCAGTGTCATGACAGGATAATAAAAAACAGGCTGGCAGCACACAATTATCCCAGCCAGGTTTTTCAGGTGTAGTTCACCTGAAGGTTAGTTGCTTCTCTGCAGTGCATTCTTTCCAAATCAGATAATGAGTTTTTATAATCTATAAAAATCAACTAAACCAAATATTCTTATTAAGTTTGTACTAAGTATACATCACACTTCTCGTTAATCCTGACTCTCTTGTCACCTGTTTTGCTGTTCGATTGCCCAGCTCGTCGGCGATCTTCTGCCACCTCCTGGACTCGACTTCCTCAGGAGGAAACTTGACAAGAAGCTGCTCCAGTTTTTTCTAGAGAATACATGAAACACAATGGGGGAAAAGGTTAAAGAAACAGTCCATGAAGCAGCCGGTGGAACAAATGAATATACATGTGGGTTGCTTATAAATAAAAAGCTTTAAATTCATCTGTGATTTTCCAAAATGGAGATTTTTCTACAGATTAGAGTCCTGTACATTTCAAGTCTTTGGTTTTAACCCGGAATGTTTATAAAAAAAAATATGTGAGAAATACTTAATGAACTTAATGAAAAGAATCTGAAAATAAAATAAAAATATTAATATACTAGTGTCATCAAGCGATCACCACACGTTTATTTCATAGTTTATTCTGTTTTGTGTTTCTGCGTGGATCAAATCAGCTCTTTGTGAACACGAAGAAACACGAAACCATTCCCCTGATAAACGACGTCTATCAGATCAGAAACGGTGCGAAATCTTCCACGCTCAGTACCAACCTGTTCCTCCACAGTCCACAGCTGGTTAAATGTGTCAGGCTTGTTTGGGTGACAAATCCTCCCCCTGATCATCTGTCGAGAGAACATGAATGACAGGAGAGTTAAAAGACTTTAAACTAAAATAATAGAGAATACTTGAAGAGATCTGAGTATATGCACTGCCTGTCACACTGAACCTGTCAGTGTGACAGAGATAGTTGAGCTGTGACTTGAGACATGTCATTGGGAAGATGCCAAAAAACTCTTTTGACTGACAAACAAAATCTTGTTCGGATTCAGACGGGGAAGTTCACGAGAATGCAAATGTGCTTGCACAATATAAAGCGGGAGAGAAAAGCTGCTTTCAGACGTGCACTGAACTACGCAGTTCCTCCGTGTTTTCTCTGGAGGGGGTGCCTGTGTGAGCGCAAATGTCCGAGAGAACCTCCCGCTTTGTTGTGCATGTGTGAAAGGCACACCGAAGGAAAACTCCGTAGGGATTTGACCTGCAGGTCATATCTGGAAAACGGCTGAAGAGAAACAGTCAAGGAGTCGTTTGTTAAGTTCTAACACTTAACATTGTCTGTTCCTGATGAGAAGTGAAACCTTAGCACCCATACAACGTGGAAAGAGACACACAACAAAGAGGCCAAGAATAAGACAGTGATCAAGGGGTGTGGGAGAGGCGGACCACTAATGTTACCATAGATACCATCTTCACACTAATGATACACTGGGAGCCACCGTGATGGCAGCAGCAGAATGAGTGTCTCACTAAGCAGGCAGAGCTGTACCTGCGTTTGCCTTCCGTTCTCCGGAGCGTCACTAGTGGGCAGGGACGAGTACATGGTGGAGGATTCTCCCTCTTTCTTGGGCTCTACTGGACTTTTTGGTCGAAGAGGCAAACCTAAAGGACAGAGAGGAGCAGAATTAAGCTGCAGGAAAGAGTTTAGTGTTTATTGTATTGTGCACTCTACAACAGTGAGACAAAAAAAAAAAAATCTATCTTGAATGAAATTCAGTAATTTCTCTGTGCCTTTGTCGAAGATCAGCTTTAACCGCCTGGTTTTTCGCTTCTTGTCGCAGAACTCTCTCTCAAAGTCTCCGAGTCCTGAGGTGTACTGTTCCCACGCAATGTCGGGGAGCTGGACGACCCGCTGAGGACACGGCAAGCCCAAATTCACCTGAGGATGTGACAAAAAAACAAACCAAGAGAAACTGTGACACCAATTCTTTGACCCCTTTTTCTGAACAACCTTTCACAACAGGGGCTTTCAAGCAACTCAAACATCGAGGTCTTAGAGGCCGGTCATGTGATGTGGAGACAAAATGTTTCACCACTTTTTAAGCAGGTACTTGATTTAACCTCAGCAGCAGGTGTTCCGACAGGTTTAGTGGCCTCGTTATCTGACTGCACTAGTTCATTAACTGATTCGCCCTGATAGCCTCTTGAGTAAGCAGTTAACGAGATAGAAAACGTAGTCAGTGTGAACAAACGTTCATGTGTACGTTCAGGACGAAAGCAGAGTCGAACGGTGGAAGAGGAAAATCAGTCTGCACCATGAATTTAACAAGCCGCCTGATATTTATTCCAGCAGCGTTCCAACAAAAAAGGTATTCCTGAGGCGCAGAACGAGAACTAGAGGCATGTCTCAAACTCGATAATCTTTCATGTCAGAATTTGTATTCGCTTAAAATCAGTATCAGCGTTAGTCCTAAACATCCTCCATCAGTCAGGCTCTGCTGCAGACGAAATGACACCATGCATTGTATTTGCACATTTCTCTTCACATCAGCTTTTTATTGTTAACATTAAAAACACTAGACATTTTTCTCCTCAGAATTCAGAGGACGTTTTTTTTTCCTCATAAATTGTGATTGTTTTGTTTTTTTACCTGTTTCTGCAGCTGCTCCACAAAGCTGATGGGATCTGTGAGTGCTTCTCTCTGGTGACACGCCAACGTCTCCAGGTCCAGGATGGCCTGCGTGCGCTGGGCCTCGAGAACCCCGATGGTCTGCAGCAGCCTCTGATAACTGACATGAAGGGAAGTGAGTTTAGACAGGAGTGGAAGGAGTGGACTTGCTTACATTATTTAACATGACACTTGGAATGTTGCAGCGTATCAAACTTTTAGACTGAGACGATGCATAATTCAACCACGGTGCTGAGAACATAAAGAGTTGCACAAGACGGGAAGAGTTTTTCCATCTGTTCTTTCTACTTTGGCAAAAACGTGATCATAGAGATATAGACAAAGGCTATAAAATATATATCTTCTCAAATTACCTGTTTGGTAAATACCTTTACAGTTACTTTAACTCAGATTTAGGGAACTTGGGGTTTGCAGTCGCTAGAGGAGCCTTCAGCGCTGCCTGACCTTTCCACTCACACGTTCTGGGGCAACAGGACAACTGTGAACTGAGCCGTCAGTGACTAAGTGTGGGACTGACTCAGAGGCAGAGCTGGAGGAATTGACAGCAGTGTCACTACATCCCACATGGCTTTAACCTAATGCAGGTGCTCAGCGGAGCAGAAAGGATCAATCTCTTTTAACAGGACATGAATGAAAAATCAATGCACGGGACACAATTTATTCAACAGCAGCCGGTGGTTTGAAAACCCTACAAATAAAAACATTCAGACGATTCAATTGTGTTACACCTCATATCCCTTCATTAGTTTCACACAGCATGTTATATGTGAGGAGCAGCTGACCTTGTACTGCATCAGTTTGTCCTGTGCCACAGTGAAGCTGTAAATCTGGCTCTTCAGCGGTGACATTAAAAACACTACCTCACATCTCCTGTACTGCAGAGTGATTTCGATTAAAATGTAAAATCTCTGCAAGATGAAGCAGCAAACTTGACGAGTTCCTTCTCTAAACAGTCTCGGCTCAGTTCCTCAACACCCTGGACTCCCTACGGGTGTCATGGGACAGGTCTGGTGTTTCATTGCCACCTACTGGGCCTGAAGTCCACTGACAAACACTGGTGCTGAATGAAAGGCTGGGCAGGACAATAGTTTTCAGGTCAATGTCTGGTAATTTAGGATTACATAATGTTTTTTTTTAAATATTTACCTGATATGTAAATGGTGTTTTGTCAAAATTGACAAAATTAAAAAAAGAAAATACAAGACCTTCTGTACACAGGTCATCAATCACGTCAGTCAATTCTCCATATTCAGCAACCCTAAAATGCAGAGTCATGCTTCCCTAAAAAATTACTCCTTGCTGTATTGATCTGAGCCTACGGAAATTGTCCTGACTCAGCACAACAAAACCGTGGCATTTCACAGAAACTTGATCGAATCACATTGCAATACGAGCGCTGTGAAATCTAATTCTGAAGCCACTATCGGAATATGAAACATTCACTAATACTGGTGTCAAAGACAAAAGGAACTCAGCAGATGACGTTTCCAAGCCCCTAAAACGCTGCGTCCGTCCACCCGCCAATAAAGATGCATCATGAATCATCTGACCTGCCACAGTGCGGTAAGCAAAGCCTGCCTGAGTGCAGCATGAGACCTGTCTGCCAACATAAACATCCAATCGCACACGACAGCTGACGGCAAAACTAGAAAAACAGCCGAACACTGAGAAGTCCCTTTTTTTTTTTTTTTCCTCCTCAAACAACTTCCTGAGAAAAGAGAAGAGAAGCAATCAGAGCGGTAATTTTAACATCAAATCTCCTCAGGGTTTGGAAATCTGACAATTGGCAGCAAATTCACACAATTACAGCACCAGACTGAAGGTGGAAATTAAATGCGAAAACACAAACAATGAGACAAGAGCTGTAGTTAGACGCTCGACAATGTTCCCATAATGCCTGAGAAGATACTCCAAGAATAACTGGGATAATTAAACAGTCAATGTGTTGATGGCGTACATTTCTTTACACTTGTTTTCACAGGTAAAGGACCACCTCCTATAAATCATCAAAAAAAACATTTAAAAAAAACTTCTGGGTTAGGTTGTTGGCAGAATTTTCTTTTCCCTCATCAGAAGACTGAACCACCACAGGGTTGAAATCAATCAGGTCTTAAAATGTAATATTCTGTGGATGCTGCATCATTAATGTGAGAATTTAATGGTATTCTTTAGCATATGAGAGGAATTAGATTGGACTTGATTTTTTCTGACATTTAAACAAATGAAACAATGAATTGAAACAAACGCCTGATTAAAAAGGAAAATAATTTTAGCTGCATCTCTAGTTGTGTAATTAGCGCAGAGAGTGAAGAAGAGAAAGATTGTTCTGCTTATCAATATTCCTTTTTCCCTGAGTTCTGGGAAGATGTTACCTCTTCAAACCAGACATCATCTCAGAGGTTTATCATGAAATATAATCCTTCAAATATTAAACTGGTGAGTAACGAGCATAAACACACACGGCCGCATTTTAAAGTGCTAATGTCTATGACAGAAAAAGAAAAACCTAACGTCCTAACACAGAATCAAACATTTTATATCATTCCGAATCTAAAGAGCATTTCAGCTTCATTCAAAACCAGAATGAACTCAATGATCACAGAATGCAGTGATCAACATGTGTGAGAGCAGCAGCAACAAAAGCTGAGGAGAGAGCAAAATCCCCGGGGAGCTCCCACATACTCTTTATTGTGTTTAAGAGCCAGGTGGTCAGACTCAAAATAATACACGTCTGGCTCCTCCTCTTCCTCCTCCTCCTCCGCAGCCTGGCTCTGTGTGAGATCCTTGCTGCTCTCTGCCTCTTTACGATCCATAGAACCGCTCGCCTCGCCACCTGCCCTGTCTCCAGGATCCACCGACATTGGCTCCTCATTAAAGGGGCCGACAGAGTCCGAGGGAGCAGGTTCCTCCACCATAGGGCAGACCTCCTCCGGCCCCAACTCCACCTCCCCCTCTTCCCTCGAGGGACCATTGTCTCTAGGAGGAGAGCTGGGCTTGGAGGAGGTCGCTTTGCCACCAGTCGCAGCTCTCCTGGGTGAAGTCCGTAGGGTGTATCTGTGTTCATAGAGCTCCGTGAAAGAGGGGGGCATGCTGGATATCGAGGGGTTGTACCCTGGCTCTGTGGGGGAGGGGGTTGTTGCTAGTGGGGGTGTTGTTTCTCCTGAGTTGCCGTTGTTGATTGGACTATTGTTCGTGTTGGGTGTGGTGGAGGAGGTGGAGGCAGCAGCTTCCTGCACCGGTGTTAGTGGCCGGCCATTGGTGTCGCTCTCCGTCACCTGCTCCTCGTGGGCCAGACACAGGGTCTCGCCCACCACGTCGACCTCCACCTCCTCCACCTCCTGCTCCTTGGCCACTATCAACTCAGAGATAGGATCCTCTGGAACAGCCTCAATTGCCAGTGCAGAGGAGGCTGGCGATTCCCCTGAGCCAGAGACCTCCATCTGCCCAGGGTCAGAGTTTCTACAAGGCACAGCAGGGTCAGGGGATGAGGGATGAGCCTCCGCCTGGCTACCGTTGAGCAGCGACAGGCAGTTGGTGACAGAGGTGGGACTTGCACTAGTCTCTTCTGTGAGTGTGCCAGGTTCCTCTGCCGGATTCTCTGTGAGTCCATTAGAAGCTTTATGAGCATTCAGGGGCTGGGAAACCCCATCACACTCCAAAAGACCATCCTCGGCCTTCACGCCCGTCAGCTCACCTTCCTCTGTACAGAGGACTGGTGAGGCAGGGGACGTGTGAGCAGAGTTTTGACTGGGAAATTCTTCACAACTGTCCTTGTTAGGCTCTGGTACAGATACTGGACTTTCAGGTTTCAGAGGCTCAGATTGCTCCTCGTGTCCCTGAGACTCTCCAGAGCGGGAGCACCGCTTGGCCCTTTTGATTTGAGGAGAGGCATCTCGTGCCCCTTTCCCTCTATCACAGTTCTCGGGCTTCTCGGGACTAATGTCTTTTTCTAAACAGGACACACCCCGCTTCCTGGAGCTGGTCCATTGCTCCACCTCAGCTGGGGAAGCAATCGAGTCAGTTTCCTTTCCCTGCAACGAGGTCTGTTGCTGGCCGTCGTGCCGAGTGTTCTGCTTGGTATCCTGCTTAGTATCATGTTTTGCGTCCTGCTTTGACTCCTGCTTAACATCTTGTTTTGACTCCTGCTTGCTCTCCTGCTTGGCGTCCTGTTTCGATTCCTGCTTGGCCTCCTGCTTCGACTCCTGCTTGGCCTCCGACTTCGACTCCTGTTTCGACTCGTGCTTGGCGTCCTGCCTCTTCTTGGGCGAGCGGGCCCTGGGTAGAGGAGACACCGAGGTCTCCTCTGGCTGGGCGATGCTGCGGTTCCTGAGGGTTCGACCACAAAAGTTCTCATCCAATCCATTGAGCCCAACTGATGACCTTGTGACACGCGAGGAACGGGACGCGGCCATGCTACGGCGGGTGCCTACTCTCTCCTCATCCTGGTGCTCTCTCCTCTGCAGCAGAACGTGGGCACCTGCAAAACACACACAGACAGACGCATTTCATTAAGATATTACAACTGAACACAGCAAGGTATTAAGGGTTATGCAGTGGTTATTGGTTTGATTGGTTTCACTAGGCAGAAGGGCTAAAGGTGAAAGCATTGAGGTATTTCAAACAAAAGCATTCCTCAAAACACCTTTGTTAAATACTGCTTGGGTCATTTCTCAGTTCACACCAAAGAGGTATTGATTTCTCCTTTCATTGTAGCTAAGCAACGCCTTCTGTCCACCGACAAAACTAGATGTCTTATCTCAAGTCTGTGAAAAAGAAAATAAATTTAAACGGGTCGGGGATCGACACAGGAAACACGAACGTCTGATCTCACATCTCGCTGAAATGACCAATGATTCTGACACTTCACAAATGTCAATGGTTTGAGGCTAATCTGTATGTGTTTGTTATGGTTACGCAGGAGAAGGTGTGTAGAGCGCTGTGAGAATCTTAAGGACAGAAAAGCCCTGAAGGAGACAAGCTGGTGAATTTCACAAAGGTGAACGACAAAGAAAGAAAGAAACATACAGAATCATTTTGTATTTTAGTGAGGGTTTATTTACTTCCTTCCTACAGATATCAATGGTTATCCTGTCAGACAAAGAATAGATACGTTTTACTGGCTGACTGATTTTATGACAGAGAAGCGACGTTGTGATTCTTACATTCAGTTCAGAGGAGATAAACGCTGCAGCTGTACATTTATCATCACGGCTAAGTCTGTTTATCTCTCTATAACAGGTGAGCCAGAGGACCAGCACGCTGCAATCCTTCCACAATTTACTAGAACATCAAAAAATAAAACCCTTTAACAAAAATCCACCACAAGGCTTGCAGGCTTCAAGTGTGGACAACTGTGGAGGCTTAGAACATGACAATCAACTTCCTGAAACAATCTAAAGTACAACAAATCCAGCCGACAAACTCAGTGAAGAACATAACTGTGCTAGAACAGAAATCCTGACTTATAGTGGGACCTGGACAATAAGCACCATCCGAATCCAACAAGACATCTGGGCTCTTATTCTATATTTAATAATCTGTTTTACTAATAATAGCCCAATGCACTAATAATTAAAATGTTATCTATATCAAAATCTTACTCCAATTCAGGCTGTAATTAAGATAACACTGATAACATTGCTGCTTTACTCAGACATATACAGGTTTTCTGCAGGTTTCAATAAGGTACATTTGAGACCTTTTTAAAACCATGATGGATGGAATTTATGTCAGGTACGACAGCTGTTGAGTCCCAGAATTACTTCCCCATAATTGAGGATACGGTGAAGTCGCCTCGTAGAGCGTGACACTGGAAACACCACATTATCCTACAAACCACAGACACTAGGTGTCCAGAGACAAGCCGAGTGTACTGTGATACTTTCAGACTGGGGTGTCTGTAGACTCACTTCCACATTATTATCTCTTCTGTAGTTATTACAACGTGTCATATGCATATCGTTGAGACAGAACTACAACACAGAGAGATAAAGCACAGGCAGGTGCAGCGTGATGATGTCACAGTGACACTACAACTCAATATTAACCCTTTTTTAATTACGAACGATTGAGTGATCATGCCGCACAGTAACAGCTGGCTCCCTCCTTCTGAACCAAACCGGGGATTACAGACTTATAACACCTCTTATATATAAACACCATGGTTGGCAGTTATGAAAGACTAGGAACAAAAGAGCAAAATAATAAGTAAGCTCAGTGGATGAATCTGCAACCATGTGTGTAAATATCTTATATCTTATTACAAGGATTAGTGAACGATCTGTGTGCGTGTAAACAAACAGATAAAGTATTTATTTAGATTACTGCAGGTGGATTAAGAGAAATCCTATCCTGGTGAATTCAAATAAATAAAAATGCATTTATTCCCTTATACCTGAGAACAGGCCTAATCACCACACAGGAATCTTGCTACTGAAGTGTCCTCTGTCATGGCTGCTACTAATAACTCAAACAACAGAGGACAATAAAAAGGTGACGCAGTAAAGGTGATACCAAAGTGACATTCTAGGGGAGGTGATCTCACTGGATGATGATGAGATATAGTCACAGGTCTCTGAGGTAGAAGAGGGGAATTACTGCATCAATTAGCATTATGGACATGGTGTTCATTTACATTCATTTCCAGCACATCAATCTTCGGGGTGACCTCTGTCAAAACTGACTTAAAAGCTCATTGTTGTCTCTGGGACGATCTACACGGTGCTAACGCTGCAACATCGAAGCCAAAAGCTACCCTGACTACAAATACACTTTGATAATATTCCTTTTGGGGATAATTTAATTGTCACCTGGAACAAGCACTACCAAGTGCACATATTACACACACCCCGCTACAGACTCAAGCTGAGAAAGCTAATGTGATTTGTCCGTGCATATAATAAGAGAGGGAGAGAAAGAAAAACAAGGGGGCGAGCAGGGGAGAGGTTATTCAGAGGGAGCGCTCACCCTTAGACTCGACATGACAAATATAATTACGCTGGCTTGTGTGACCTGCTTCCAAAAACTGGAAAACTAATCACTTCTTGGTCCGGGTTACAGCTCAGCAGTATGAGCTGGATGAATAATTCGCTCCCATGTTTTTGTCCCAATAAGTAACATGTTATTGGAACAAAGTCTAATGCTGCGGGGACTTTTATTTCTACGTCCATGAAACAATATAATGAATGTCAAATTTGACGCTCCCCGGCTACATCCACATTAAACTGAAAATAACTTACAAACCAGCCTTTTATCTTTATTGCAGGCCTCCACCCAGACAAAGTGTTTTTCTCCCCACAAAATACGCTTTTCCAAAACAGTGTCCAGTGCACTATTATGAGGTAGGTGTGCAATAACTTTTTTTTATGTGGGGCTGATTTTATACAAAACAACCTCTTGGCTGTGAAGCATGTATTGGATTGGCCTCAGAATATGTAGTATTGCGCAAAAGATGTAGTGTTTGGAATCTTATTCGTCACACATTAGCATCAAGGAGATTTCCTTCTACAGCAAGCATGAACAATGTATGAGAAGAAATCATGAGATATACTGATCTAATTTCACAAACTGCGAAATCATAGAATAAATCCTCCTACAGTAAAAATAGAAATGCATACAACACCTTTCAGCTGCTAATCAGCGCGCATACATGTAGATACTCATCACTTCATCTCCCCCGGAATGATCATTTTAATACCAGTGTGTGAACAGAGACACCTGAATGACCACGAAGAGATTAAACAACTGTTTGGCTCAAGAGGAAAAAGACTTTTTCTTACATGTAGGTCCAGCATATGAACAGGTTGAAGGTGGTCAGGCAGCATAAGACCCTGAAGTCAACATTATACTGGTTCCTAATGTTCCTGTAAATTGAATTTGCTACTGTCGAGGTCCATATGTATATGATTCTGACATTCACAGACTAATATACTAATGTTTGAAGAGTAGCCTTTTCAAACATGAATGTCTTAAATAACCCTATTAAGGAGTAATGTCAAAAGTGAAAGGAAAAACAATTATATGTCTACAGGGAACTCGCGTATCTGGTTTTAAAGAGGAATGGAAATATTACATTATTCTGTCAATTTAGTAATTAATTAGAGAGATCAGGTATAAAGATGTATGTATATACATGTACTGTAAGTAAAGTGCATACACAGCTATTACAGTACATAAAACTTTTCTTG